GCGACGTCGGAGCTAGCGACCAGGCAAAAAGGAAATCAGACAGGCATGCTGAATGGGAAACAAAAAGAAGTCCGTCCAGCATAATTAGGTGAGACAATGCCTCAGACTGTTCCCGGCTGGAGATGTCGCAGGGGCTCTGGCCGTGCTGGCGAGCGCTCACTCTCCACAAGTTACACATCTCCACAGGCCGCTAATAAGCTCCTAATTGTCTTTCCGAGTCACACGGACAGAGGCAGCCACTGCCCAAGTGGCTGCACCCCCTGCCTCTCGCACGTACCCAGCTTCACCTCTTGCAAAATACTGATTATTTATATAATTTCCCCATTCCCAGACTGTGTGTGTGTTTTCCTGTGTGTGCTGGAGACTCCTGTGACAGACAGGTTGGGTGGGGTGGGGTGGGGTGGGGTGGGGGGAGTGGAAGTACAGCATGGCCTGATGGGCAGGAATGTAAGCTGGGGGAGGAGGGCAAGCTACTTATTTTACCCCCACTGCATCAGGGTTTATTATTGTCTCCTGTAGTCTGTTAAATGTATCTGCTCTAGTCTAGTGTACAGTGTTTATTTTCTGTCAAATTGAACCACTACTGTACCTTGTAACACATCAAAGTTTTACATCATTAGAAGGGTGAAAAGTGAGTGTGTAGCTCAGATAGTGTAGAACTGACTGGTTACACGGCCTATTGCTGAGTTGGCTGGTTAACACTTGTTGATATTGACTGATGTACATTGATCAGTCTACTGAGCGTTGACACAGTAAATGACCTGACATTCACAATATGGTGCAATCACTGGTGGCTGCCTGTCATGCAAGGCTTCCGGTCCATTGGATGCTCCTCAAGAAACAGGTCATTCCCCATGGAGGGGTCGTCTATACAGAGAGAAAAAACTCCTCCGTCCGTCAACAATACATCGCCTGACCTCACCGAGCCTCGCTGCCCCGACAAACGTCAATCCGATGTGCCCTCAGGCCATTAATTAGCTGTCAATTAGTGCAAATTAATCAACTCCTCGCCCAGTTAAGCAATGCCGGCAGGCAGCTCCCAAACACGCCATTGTAGAGGAACCATGAGAACTGGAGCTAGCAAACTCACTTTGCATCAGGGGGTCATCACGCCCTTGGCAGTGCTTTGGGGATTGAAAAAAGCAGAACCTCTTGCAGTGTTTTAGTTTTCCCCTGACTCTGCACAAGATGTGTGCTGTCATCAGTACCGGCTCACTGTTTCAACACAGAGCTATAGAGTTAAGGGCCCGGGCTTGATTCAGCACTATAACAGGCTGAATCACAAAATGTGTTGGGTTTACCTGCTGGCAGTCTTAGAGTAGAAAAATGCTGTTTTCGTTCATTATATCTGCACAGTATAGGGCGACTGCAGATGTGTGCTGTGTGAGCGTCGGTGATCCTTCATTTTGATTGCATAGTATGAAATATCAAGCTCAAGCAATCTGCAGGGGTTGGGCTAATGCATAGTTATGTTACTGATACAGCCCATCACATAGCCCATTATCTAGTGACCTTCCTGTGGACTGCAAGTTCTTTACTTATTCATTATTACAAATAGACTTCAAGCCTTTCCAATCAAAATGACTGCAGACTGAAGACAATTGGTATTCATTCGAAGGGGGAGGTTTTTGTTTGCAACATTTAGATGCATGGTGAAATGGAAAGTGATGCAGTTAAACACCCTCTGGTTTGACCTCTAGCCTATAGAGGTCAATACTTTTTTTTTGCAACAGATGACCTCAGTTTGTCTAACACACTAGATAATCATATTTGGAATGGATATGTAATGTGTTTTAAAGCTAAAGCACACATTTGTTTATTTCTGCCCCCTTTCAGCTTTACATCATCCTCAGGCCATCCACTTGAGTTGGGATCTTGACCTATAGAAGTGTTTCTCATACCTTTGAGGGCAATCTGGTTTACACAACATGACAACTCTCCCACAGCAAGATGGAAACAGAGGGAAGGGGAAACAACAGATAAACACATTTTTGCAACAGCTGTTTGTTTGCCTTTTAATCTGCAGCCATCAGATCTTGTGGTCTTTGATGGGCAACCCAATATACACGAATGAGTGAACTAAATCTTCCTTTAATCTAGAACCCTATTAGACCGTTATCTCATCTGCATGTAAATCAGGGTGGAGTCATTGTGATATGGAGATGGATATTAAAAGGCTACTGAGAGAGAGAGGGTCTCTAGCAACAATAAACAACAAAGCCGTGATAGATTGCAACAGAAGTGGTGGTGGAGTGAGGGCAGGAACCCGCGGTGTAATTGACAGGTCATCCTGACTCACGGTTCCATGTGAATAGATGGGTTTATCTCGACTGGCTGATGCGTCATTAGCATATCCCGATAACATTGATTTCTTCATTACCCATAATGAAATGTTCACTTAATAGCCTCCTAATTAGTTTCAACTGGTCATCGAGTAATTGTCGAGGTAATATTTTTCACCCTCTTAATCTGTGGCTCAATTTTTACTGTTTGATGTAAAATATGATTTTGCTAAACAGATTAGTTTTAGGTCTGGGCTATAGTTTACAATATTTATTTTGTTTTAACCTCCCTGTCTCTCACCCCATCGACTAGATCAGATATGGACGAAATCTAAATGGTCTGTAGATGAACTCAACTGCAAAATAGGATACCAGAATTGCCATTTTACCAGATGTATGCATTCTGACGCACATATTGCAATGCCCTAATTGCTAGCCCTATTTATCTACATCGAAAGGGTGTTATCCTCAAATGTGTAAGATGTAGTTCTATATAGGCTAATATCTTATATGAACCTCTCTGTAGGCATGGATATGCCGTTATTAGAATGACATAAAACAGAGACAGTCTGTAATGTCTTGTTTATACATTTGATAACCCACACCAGGCATCAACGGGATTAGCTCTCTATCAATAGTCATGGCTGGACATCATACATCAATTTCACATCCACAAAAACAAGTTCCCATGGAATCAGCATGTCATTTCTTGTTGTGGAATAACTAAACAGGCATACTAATTGTCCATTGTATTTCATTGGCTGAAACCTTGTCAGTCACCTGACTTTTTAGATTTGTATCAACTGTTTTTGCCACGCGCCAACGTTGCTTCCTTCTTCTGGCGCCCCTGACTCTCTGCTTGTCACCTTTAAACCAGGACATGTATTAATCTATTACCACATGGCACTTAGATAAGATCTGAGTTTGCTTTGTCCCCCTCAAATAGTTTAATCAATTTCCATAAATGATCTGGGTGTAATTATCTGTCCAGATGTCCAAATTGTGCCACACACATCTCCAAACTCATCCAGTTCCTATGCGTAAAAGGGTTGTATTAATTACTTGACCCATGGAGCTGTTCACAAGTAGGCCTAATCGTAAATCTGCTCATCATAAGGGCATTTATTTGTGTCCATGCAGTATTGACAAAAGAAGGCTGCCATATGTAAATATTTTCCAAATTGTAGTTTACATTTGAAAGCATTATTCTGGTACTCTACAACTGCCCAATAGAATGTGATTAAACGTGTCGAAAACTATTTAATTATCAATTCATTATATTCAAAACTAACCAAGTATAGGCTACTTTGTAAATTGCACCAAATGTAGGCCTAAGTGTCCGATTTATTCAGCGGAAAAGACCCCTGATATGTATAACGCCAATTTAATTTATACCAAATCAATGTTTTTCAAATAGGCTAATTCGATAAGATTTAGGAAAAAATTGTCGAAATAGATCATTTTTACATTAAAATACAATAGGCTACATGTTCTCTCCATTACAATATGAAACATAAACTGCCTTTATCTAAACTAAGCGACTTGTGCATATAGAAAGATAAGCTGCAAAGCCTCCACACAGAGTTAAATTGCTTTGGATTGCACCGGGGATTAAAATGTGGATTGGAAAAAATCCATTAGTAAAACAAATAGGGCCTAAAGAAAATTATGTAACACATTAAACATCCGATAAAATGGTGCAATGTTTGATAATGGTAATCATCTTTATTAATGTAATTGCACTTTATGAACATGCTTGGCATGCTCCCCAAATGACCCCATGCATCAGTAACTTGTTGGGTTTAAGAGGTTCAATGATACTCGGACTATCCTTTTCTAAACGGTTAAAAGTGATATAGGCTAGGCCTAATGTTGTTTTTGTTCGCATTAATTAGAGAACGTTGCTTAATAAATAGCTTCTAATAGGCCTACACATTGGTAGCCCAGATTCTTTCCTAATTTTCAATTTCTTATGCGAAATGTCCCTCTCCACTAATCTGTCATGTATGCTGCTGTGAGATCAGTCTGTAGCGAGGCAGAGATGTGTGTTCGCGTCCAGCTCTCGTTTTGGAGAGGCTTTGATTTCCGTGTGATGGTTTCCTTGCCTCGGATCAATTATCCGTTCATGTTTGAGGCAAGGGATGGACATGGCGATCATAGAAGATGGAAATAGCCACTAGAAGATGGTCTGAAATATATTCAATGAAGAGTCTAATACGCACCGACTAACATGCATTTTCATTTTATGAAATTGGTAACTAAATCCAGGCCCGGATTCATTAAATCCGCCTCATATAGTTTTAATTCTGCATGGCATTATAATAATATCAAGATCACGTTTAAATACCAGAATAATTGTACTATTTAATATACAGTATAAACGAGCCACACACGTTAGCATACAAACGAAAAAACAATGCAAAAGGCATGTGGCTGCATTGATGCATTTTTTCCCCCAATAAATTGGCATTAACTTCGTCCACCTGTTTCATCCTCTTTATCCGCAGGCGTTTTGTGTTATCCTCACACTCTGGGTTCTGTGCCTATAGTCTTAATATATCAGTTCTTAGGGAATAAACCATTTCCAAAGGCGCGTAATGCTTGATGCGCAGGAATCCCGAAACATCCCTCGTAGTTGATTGGCTGCTGGGCTCTGACTCTTGCTGGGATGGACCTGTTTGATAAAAGGACAATTTTCAAGAGTCTGGAGTGATACATAGTGGATCGTCCACTGGGGAACGACCTGTGAGCCGCTAAAAATAGGGAATACTATCGAAGACACCATGACAGGTAAACAAGGAGCTGTGCTATCGGAAACGTTGAATATATCCAAAACGTCCTCTCTCGGTGCTAACAGAGGTAACAGCCTGCATCAACAATCAAAGAACAGCGCCACGCACCCTCCCAGATGCACGGGATTCGGGATCCAGGAGATTTTAGGGCTGAATAAAGAGCCTTCGGTGGACCCGAGGAGCACCCTGCAGTCTCGGCCAGCTGGGGCGCACCTGCTTGCCGCCAGGTCAATGCTTGGTACCGCTGGTGTAGGAGTTGGGATGGGATTAATCGGGCCTGGAGGGATTCCGTCGTTCTACAGCCAACCAGCGTTTTTGGAGGTCCTGCAGGACGCTCAGAACGTTCACCTGCAGCCCCACAACAGAACTGTGGGACCTCTGGACCACAGCCAGTCCGCCAGTTCGGGTAGGAATTTCAGTCGTTGTCATTAGCCTAAAATAAGGACTTAAAATATATACTTGTATTTATAATAATAATAATAAAAATATTAATAATAATAATAGTAAAAGTAGTATTAGGCTGAACTATAAAGGGACAATGGATAACCATTGCCTAATAATAATATAAAATAATATAAATAGGCTACTTATGTCAGTAAAATAACAATTACAAAATACAATGATAACATTTGTGTTAGACATTTTGTTTCTTAGCCTACTCAATGTCATCACTAACAATTGTGATAACACATTGGATATGATCTAATCCCTCAAACGAGTCATTCATGTTGTCACGTTTTCTAATATTCACAGACTCCGAAGATCTTTCGTCGAACGAACGAAAACTCTCAAAGAACTCATTAAGCCAGAGCAAGAAACGGAAGAAAAGACGGCACCGGTAAGCGTTGCATTCCAACACATGATATTATTGTTTATCAGAATGCTAATAACTTCTTCAATTTCTGAAGCTCGCATGTTTCATAATTTTTAGTGTGGCCTAACAACACGCCTTTTTAATATTACATTGTTTAGGCCTTTTGAACTGTCTTAATTCATCAACAACTATTTTGGACTTTGTGCAGGCTATTATAACAAGATTAGCCTAGGATATAATTTGAAATAGTAGCCTATGCTAATTACTGAGATGATTTACAGGTTGTCAATGGCCAATAGGCTATTATTTCAAACATGAAATTAAATCGAATAGGGTATGTTTGAAATTCAAGTTAATTAAACGCAATTAGGTAACGCATTGCCTTATTTCCCAATAGCCCTTGGATTTAAATGTTTGACATGTTTCATAGCAAATAAATTATATTTACGCCTCGTATTTTATTTCAAATGTGAATTTACAGGCTAGCCTACTCTAACATGTCCGTCTTTTTCCATATATTTTTGTCATTCATTTTTATGTATATTTGTTTTGGGGTGTGAAAGCATTGGCCTATTTTAACCATCGAGTGTATGCCTAATACACCATATGGACATAGCCTACATTTTACCTTTCATAGCGAAAGGCTTAGTCTGTGAAGACTATTATTCAATAAAGGTGATCAGACATTGAAATGGCCAAATATGATTTCCTTTATACCAGCATATAGGCATATAAAGGATTAGAGCCTGCAAAAATGTTTTGCTAACCTTTTTTATTAATCCACTTATTTTTTGTAGCCTACTCACTGAATGCATGTAAAGGCTGCATGTTTTTAGTCCTACACATTGCTTTCTGGGATACATGCACTCCCTTAAATAGGCTACTGAATAGGCCTAATTTTTATTGTAATCAAATAATAAGATATTAAATAATAAGATCTAGCAGCTGCTTTTGGAGGACATGTGATTTAGTCTACTGTAGGCCTATTTCTAAAATGCACCATTGTTCTTAATGTACCTAAGATGAAATGCATACAAACACCTTGGATAGATAAGATGTAATGGAATGCATTGGCACCGTGCAAATGAAGGTGTGCATTTGTACATCTGATCTGTTTGAAATAAATAATAGCCAACCGAGCTTCCCCTATTATTCGCCTTTCGAACATTTTTCAATGCTCACAATTTACACATATTTCATATTTCTACAGAACCATATTCACATCTTACCAGCTCGAGGAGTTGGAGAAGGCCTTTAACGAAGCCCACTACCCTGATGTGTATGCACGGGAGATGCTGGCTATGAAAACAGAGCTTCCTGAGGACAGAATACAGGTATGACAGCTGGTTATAGCCTATTGTTGGCACTGTTGTTATTGTATCATGTCAGAGGAAATGTATTTTGTAACTTGAGTTCTTCCTCCCCTAAATAGCATTTAAATGTCTCAAAACAGCATTCTTCATGTTAATATTATTTTTAATTATCTACTGGATAAAATGACTGAAATATTATGTCAAACATTGTTTTTTACATCATTCTCATTGTCCCTTGCAAGAAACTCAAATTGGCTTATTATGTTACTCTCCAAAATATTTCCTACAGGAGAACCTGTGCTAAATGTAAAAGGTATTTCTCCAATGAGATGTGATTATCAGTGACAAATTATGTTCTTTAATACCTTTTCTGCATTGAAACCCTTTATCTACTTCCCCAGAGTCAGATGAACTCGTGGATGCCATTTTTATTTCTCTGCATGCAGTTTGAAGGAAGTTGCTAACCAGCAATAGTGCAATTGCTAACTAGCGTTAGCGCAATGACAATTGATAACTAGCGTTGGCGCATGCTAGTAGATACCATAGACTTCCAGTCATTGCGCTAACGCTAGTTTGCATTGACTCGCGAAACTACCTCTAACTTCCTTCATACTGGATGGAGAGATATAAAAATGGTATCCACGAGTTCATCTGACTCTGGGGAAGTAGATAAAGGGCCAACATTCATTGCCAAAATCCCCAAATATCACTTTAAGCCACCACTGACATCTGTCACTGTACATTGGGACTGTAATCTGCTTTTGATATGTATTATAATAATTAAGATAAGGTCTCTTACAAACTATTTAAGTCATTCATAAAGAAGGCCTATGGTAGCAGGTGGTTTTCAGGTACCAATAATAGAGGACATTATTGGTACCAGAATAGGTTTATGCAGTGTAGAACTATAGGCAGGTCTACCTTTTTTGCTTAAGTCTTGGAATTTAAATAGCCTAGGCCTAGGTTATAAAGCAGGAATCTAATAAACAATGAATGGCGTGGAAAATGAAAAGTGGAGTGAAATAGGCTTACTCTGCACTTGACGAAATAGTTAGCTCCTTAATATTATGCGAAGGAAAGTGAGCCCACGTAAATCGATCAATAATGCCTCTCTCCCTGTCTGAACAAAGACACCTCTAGTAGCAACCTCGCCAGATAATCTCTCATTAGGCGCAGTTGGATGTGAAACAATTTGTTCTCGGAGAGGAGCACTAATGACCTAATCAAGCTATCAAGGCAGAAGAAGATTGCGGTGTGACCTGGACCATCCATCTGCTCGAGCGCCGTTTAATTTCGTTCTCATTATGGCTCTTCGCGGCGAATAAATAATAATAAAATAAATAAATAACTGTATTCCAATCGTAAATAGAAGTAACACCCAATTTTCTCACAGAGTCTAATTAGTTAAATCAGATGAGCTTGCCTTGTTCCTGGGGGAGGCTGGCTCGAGACGCGGGGAGTTCAAATGATATAACTACATTGAATGAATTAGCACGGGTCAATAGCGCCGCTCCCCCGAGTCCCGCTCGTTTAATTTCCCGTGATATTTGCCCGCCTGTCCACCATCGATTGGGCTTGAAATTAACTTAGTTTTCAATCAGTCTTGGCGTGCCCTAGGGGTCGCTTCTGCTCGCAGCTTCCCCCTCAGCTTCCTTTGAGTGCCAGAGAAGCCATTTCTCATAAAACATTTATATTGTATGAAATAAGGGCTATCATTAGAATTAACAGAAAAAGGGTTGAAATGATTTTGTTAATTTTCAATTTAATGGCTGTTCCCCCTCCACAGTCGAGACATATCTGTCCATGCCCCTCCTCTCTTATTTTTTGCACTCTACACAGAGCCATCAGACGTGGCCAAGTAGGCTGTTTAACAGCTCTGTGTTGTGCTATGAAATCAATTTGGCCTCTCACTGAGCTGACAGATAGCATGGGGCCCGAACCAGTGGTCATGGAGTTCCACACTTGGCATTGGGCAAGTTGATGTGTCACTGACTATCCATCCACACTACCTCAGGCTGGGCGGGGACTGACAGGACTCAGAGACCACCTGCAGCCTGTAAAGGAAATCAATGTGCTGAATCAAATCACATCAGTTTTTATCTTATATCGCCAAACATTACACAAGGGGTCTTACAGAGATCTCAAAACAACACAACACTAGAGTGACTGAAATAAGACCAGATTTAGTTATGTTGTTTTTCACAAATTATATAACAGAATTGGCTAAAGTGCCATTAGGTCTTTAATTGGACCCCCATTAGCTTTTCCAGAGCAGCAGCTGGGGTCCACAAAAAAACACAAAACACGACAAGTAACAAACACTGATACACTGATAGACAAGGACAGTCACACACATTTAAAATACAACCATATACAAACAACAGAACAAAAAAATAATAAAATGATTTTTCAAGAGGTGGACAACAGTGGTGCAATGTGATGGCAGTGCTAGAGTCTGTTAAGGTGGTGGTGTCTGTCAGTTAGAAGACTCATTGATGCTGCTAGTGTCAGTGTGTCTGAATATTGCTAGTTTCAGTGTTGATAGGTGGTACTTAATGACTCCTCCTGGGTTACAGGTCTGGTTTCAGAACCGCAGGGCTAAATGGAGGAAGAGGGAGAAGTGCTGGGGTCGCAGCAGTGTGATGGCAGAGTATGGGCTGTATGGGGCCATGGTCCGTCACTCCATCCCCCTACCAGATTCCATCCTCAAGTCCGCCAAGGATGGCATCATGGACTCTTGTGCCCCATGGCTGCTTGGTATGAGACTAATGTTTCATTTACAGCTGGTTTCATCCTCCATGCTTTACTTTGAATTAATCATTGCTCTCATATATTCTCCACATTCTACTTTTCTATTTGTGATTGTGGGTTGTGTTCCTCGTCATTCAGTGCAGAGGGCAAATACTTAATATTTGATTTAATCCTTTCATCAAATGGCTCTGAAATGATCAAGATATCATAATTTATATTTGGTAGGCTTACTTATTGCCTAGTGGGGGAAAAAAACCGATACAGCAATTATTTACTATCAGTCCACACTTATTATGCACCCTCAATTTGAAGATCATATTCCTATAGCTAAATCAGAACTATTTCTTTGTTTACTATTTTCAGTTCAAGATGGCTTTCCAATCAGCAGACGCTTTTCTAAATCCGAATACCCCCAATTCTTTTCAGGGATGCACAAAAAGTCCATGGAGACCACGGTCATCCAGCCAGCAGGGAAGTCTGACGGTTCCCAGCAGCCAGCCATTCAGAGGGGAGAAGAATGCGACGTGGAGGAGAAGAGGGTGGAGGGCAAGTCACCCATCTCCAAAGAGGAACTGAGGGAGAACAGCATCGCAGCACTCAGGGCAAAAGCACAGGAGCACAGTGCAAAGGTGCTTGGGACTGTTACATGTGAGAGACCAGAGAGCAAAGTGGAGAGACAGGCAGCAGAGGAAACATCTAGTGGCCCTTTGAGTCCACTGGAAGAGCCCAAGAGTCCATAGACCCTCACTTTGTAAAGACTTTGCAGTGCCCTTGACTGTGCTCTAAACATCTGTATGGACTCAACTAGATCGATCAGTGTTATTCAGTGTTCTCTGAGAGATTTTCTACATGTTAAACTCATCCTAAATCTCTATTATACTGTTTTAAAATGACCTTCTTTAAACTGGTCTTCCCATTGGAGAGATAAAATAACTGAATTAGTCTCTTATTGACTAAGAAAAACACCAATGCACTTTCTGTCTTTCTTACCCCCCGACATTCATACAGATATTGTTGCTTACAGTGGGGAAAAAAAGTATTTAGTCAGCCACCAATTGTGCAAGTTCTCCCACTTAAAAAGATGAGAGAGGCCTGTAATTTTCATCATAGGTACACGTCAACTATGACAGACAAAATTAGAAAAAGAAATCCAGAAAATCACATTGTAGGATTTTTAATGAATTTATTTGCAAATTATGGTGGAAAATAAGTATTTGGTCAATAACAAAAGTTTCTCAAATGTTGGCAATGACACAGGTCAAACGTTTTCTGTAAGTCTTCACAAGGTTTTCACACACTGTTGCTGGTATTTTGGCCCATTCCTCCATGCAGATCTCCTCTAGAGCAATGATGTTTTGGGGTCTATCGCTGGGCAACACGGACTTTCAACTCCCTCCAAAGATTTTCTATGGGGTTGAGATCTGGAGACTGGCTAGGCCACTCCAGGACCTTGAAATGCTTCTTACGAAGCCACTCCTTCGTTGCCCGGGCGGTGTTTTTGGGATCATTGTCATGCTGAAAGACCCAGCCACGTTTCATCTTCAATGCCCTTGCTGATGGAAGGAGGTTTTCACTCAAAATCTCACGATACATGGCCCCATTCATTCTTTCCTTTACACGGATCAGTCGTCCTGGTCCCTTTGCAGAAAAACAGCCCCAAAGCATGATGTTTCCACCCCCATGCTTCACAGTAGGTATGGTGTTCTTCGGATGCAACTCAGCATTCTTTGTCCTCCAAACACGACGAGTTGAGTTTTTACCAAAAAGTTCTATTTTGGTTTCATCTGACCATATGACATTCTCCCAATCCTCTTCTGGATCATCCAAATGCACTCTAGCAAACTTCAGACGGGCCTGGACATGTACTGGCTTAAGCAGGGGGACACGTCTGGCACTGCAGGATTTGAGTCCCTGGCGGCGTAGTGTGTTACTGATGGTAGGCTTTGTTACTTTGGTCCCAGCTCTCTGCAGGTCATTCACTAGGTCCCCCCGTGTGGTTCTGGGATTTTTGCTCACCGTTCTTGTGATCATTTTGACCCCACGGGGTGAGATCTTGCGTGGAGCCCCAGATCGAGGGAGATTATCAGTGGTCTTGTATGTCTTCCATTTCCTAATAATTGCTCCCACAGTTGATTTCTTCAAACCAAGCTGCTTACCTATTGCAGAATTCAGTCTTCCCAGCCTGGTGCAGGTCTACAATTTTGTTTCTGGTGTCCTTTGACAGCTCTTTGGTCTTGGCCATAGTGGAGTTTGGAGTGTGACTGTTTGAGGTTGTGGACAGGTGTCTTTTATACTGATAACAAGTTCAAACAGGTGCCATTAATACAGGTAATGAGTGGAGGACAGAGGAGCCTCTTAAAGAAGAAGTTGCAGGTCTGTGAGAGCCAGAAATCTTGCTTGTTTGTAGGTGACCAAATACTTATTTTCCACCATAATTTGCAAATAAATTCATAAAAAATCCTACAATGTGATTTTCTGGATTTTTTTTCCTCAATTTGTCTGTCATAGTTGACGTGTACCTATGATGAAAATTACAGGCCTCTCTCATCTTTTTAAGTGGGAGAACTTGCACAATTGGTGGCTGACTAAATACTTTTTTCCCCCACTGTATATATTGTTAAAACTTGTTTAATATGGGGGTTAACACTCCATACAGATGTATATAGCTGACAACCCCTATAACTAGAAAATACCCACTTTACAAGTGTCTCTCATTGAATATTCTTAAACTACTCATTCAGTATGCAAAGTGCATACTTGTGTTTGTTAGAATGAGCCAATTAGGACATTTGTTGATATATAAGTAGCCAATCTTTGAAAGTATACTGTATATTGAATTCACAGCATCCATAATATTGATGCTGACTGTGTTTCTTGTATAGTCGCTCCCTGAAGACTCATATATATATATTTTCCTTTGGGATGATGATGTATGAAAGGGAAAACATTATCCTCTTAAGAGGAACACAATAATTAAAAAGTTATCTTACCTTGTTCTTATGCTGTATATAATAGAGATAAAGATAGCTCACAAAGGCACTGTTAAAACATACTTTTATGTAGTCTTAAAATGTTTGTGTTTTTGTTTCATAGTCTGTATAATATGCAATACAAAGAATTAAAACTTTTTTTATGAGGTCTGCTATTACTTGATATTGTTTATTACCTAATCACAAAGCCAAGTGGCCAGGTGAACCTGCAAGAGAGAAGCTTTAGATCTATAATTATCTATGCACGCATGACTGTAAGTCGCTTTGGATAAAAGCGTCTGCTAAATGGCATATTATTATTATTATTATTATTATTATCTACGGTGTATTCTTCACTATATTTGTATTTTCTTCTGTCCACTACCTGGGCATGCTATTTCCGTCTTCAGTAAGCAGTAGTAAGTCTTGGACTGCTGTACCAGACAATGGATGCTCTAAAAACCAAATCAAATTTTATTTGTCACACGTGCCGCATACAATTGGTATAAACCTTACTGTGAAATGATTGCGTAGGAGCCATTCCCAAAGATGCAGAGTTAATGCAAAAAAAATTGTAACATAAGAGGAATAAAATACACAAAGACGATGGTATATACAGAACCATATGTTTCTTAGAGCATGGCGAGAGCTTGACAAAATAAGGTTATTTTCTTGGTATTTCATTACTTTAACAGAACGTTACCTACAATTTCAAACATGGTTCCATTTAATTACATTTTTGGTGATGTTCTAGGAACGTTCCCCAACTGGTTTTACATTGGGAATGTTCTCAAATGGTTCAGAGAATGTTAAGAAACAACATTCATCTGTGGGAATTTCAACCAAATTCACATAGAAATGTGTATTATAGATCTGTCATTCTCATTGAAAGCAAGTCTTGAAAGCGGTATATCTGTTCTATCTGCACTATGTCTATTCTTCCCATTCTTTAGCTTTTGAGTCTTTTACTTTTGTACACCTGCTTCAAACAGCTGAAAATACAATACTTTTGGTTATGGAAAATATATTTCACAGCGGTTTAGATGGTACAATGATTCTCTACAGTCTACACTATACTTGCTTGTTCTGTCACATAAACTGAAAATATGCAAACTATTAGAATTTTAGCAACCAGGAAATGGCAGAGCGATTTCTGCATAGTGTATCTTTAAGCATAACATTTCCTACAGGTTTCCTCATGGTTCTATTTAAAGACGTTCTCAGTACGTTCAGAGAACGTTCTTTTGTGGGAATTTCAGTACTTCAGTATAACGTTTTCTGCAGGTTTCCTCATGGTTCTATTTAAAGTCATGTTCTCAGAACATTAAGAAAACTTTTCATAAAAACCACAAAAAAAATTAGTAACGTTCTAAGAATGATATTGAAAAACATATACATTCCGTTCTCTCTATCCTCTATCGGTGTTCAGGTGTGTTGGCCGTGCCCACTAATTGGCCTTACCTGATCTTAATGAGTGCTTGTTTCCTTCAAAATGGGGTCCGTTTGAATAGACTAAAATGAACAGTTTTGTATGAGTTAATAAAACATGGCATGCTAGGTCCATCCTGGTGGCGCAGTGGACTTATTCCATGGATATAGAACAGAAGATCATAGGTTTGAATCTCACTGATGCTGTGCTGCAATAAAAAAGAAATGTGTTTGCATGATTAATGCCTAAGCAAATGAATTTCTATGTGTCCTATCTGTGCTTTGAGTTAAACTAAGCTAGCAGTGTTATTAAAAGTAATATTTAAACATTCAGTGAAAGTTTTAAGGAAGTTATTCAAAATCCTCAAAATAACCTATCATTTCTGTTAATAAAACCTCCCAGGAAAACTTTCAGGTAATCATAGTAAAACGTTCTCAGAACCTCCCTTCAACTAAAAATGAACGTTCCCGTAACAGGCAAAATGTTCACTTCCGTTCTCAGAACGTTTACATTTTTTTATATTTTACCGGTCAGGAAACATATGGCTTTATTCCCAGAACCAATGGGAAACCAAAAACCTACATTCCCACAACTTCAAAATAACCAAATGTGCTAGCTGGGAGTACCATATCACTGTGCAGTGGTAGGAGGTACCGTATGTGAGGTAGATATGTACATAAAGGCAGGGTAAAGTGACTAGGCATCAGGATAAATACTAAGAAAGAGTAAAATAAAGAACAGAGTAGGAGCAGCTTATGATGTGTGTCTGTGTGCGTGTGCATGCGTGCCTGCATGAGTGTGTGTGCGTGACGTATGTGTGTGTTTATGTAGTGTATGTGAATGTGTGTGGGTTTGTGTGAGTGTCAGTGTAGGGTGTGTTAGTGTATACACATGGTGTATATATAGTATTGTGAGTGTGCATAGAGTCAGTGCAAGATAGGATCAATGCAAATAGTCCGGGTAACCATTTAATTAACTATTTAGCAGTCTTATGGCTATTTAGCAGTCTAATGGCTTGGGGGTAGAATCTGTCTCGGAGCCTGTTGGTCTGAGAGCCGATGCTCCGGTACCGTTTGTCGAGTTGTCCTTGTCATTCCCTGTGCATGATGCTCCGTTGGTCATGCTGATTCGAAGGTGGCTAGCTGGTCCTATAACTGCACGCTCTGCCTGTTCCCAGGGAAGCCAAGTGCAGTATTTTGTTCTGCTGCCTGTAATCCGTTGCATTTGAGAGGCTTCAATCTCTCAGAATAAAGTATGGGGCCAGTGCATAAGGGCCATATTGGAGAGGGGAGCCAGTGAGAGCAGCCCAGCTGAGGTGCTCTCAGCCTGTATTTAAGGCGCC